TTTCTTCCATCTCTCTCTCTCTCCGTTCCTTCTCTCATCTCCTCTCTCTCTCATCTCCTCCTCTCCTCTATCTCCTCTCTCTCTCTCGTCTCCTCTCTCTCTCTCTTCTCTCTCTCTCTCCTCTATATATAATATATTATATATATTAATATATATATAATATATATATATACAAATATTATTATTTATTATATACATACACGCTCCATGCATATGCACACGTACCGCGACGGCAGTGGCTGCATGCGAGTTCTTTTGCGTGCGAGAAAGAGCGGGAGAGAGCGGAGAGAGAGAGTGAGAGAGAGAAGGGGAGAGACGAGACAGAGCGAGAGAGCGGCGCGCGAGAGAGAGGGCCCAGAGGGCAAGAGAGAGTGCGAGAGAGAAGAGAGAGCGAGAGATAGAGATAGAGATAGAGATAGAGATAGAGATAGAGATAGATGATAGAGATCAGAGACCAAGAGACAGAGACAGAGACAGAGACAGAGAACAGAGACAGAGACAGAGACAAGAGATAGAGATAGAGATAGAAGATAGAGATACGAGATAGAGATAGAGATAGAGATATATGAACTAGAGATAAGAGATAAGAAGATAGAGATGAGAGATAGGAAGATAGAGATAGAGATAGAGATAGAGATAGAGATAGAGATAATGAGATAAGAGAGAGAGAGAGAGCGAGAGAGAGAGAGAGAGAGAGAGAGAGAGAGAGAGAGAGAGAGCGAGAGAGAGAGAGAAGAGAGAGGTAGATGAGTGGGGCGAGCCTAAAAGGGGAAGAGGGGGGAGGGGAGAGCTGCCAAAGTTTCATGGCTATTAAGGTCGAGGGAGGTTTCCCAGAAAATCGAACTTCTTTAGCACAAACAATATGGTATATATATATATACATCGCACGCACTATGCGAATTACCGTATATATGCGAAAACGCAAACATAGTCGTTACTCCGAAGCGTGAACGCTCCCACTTGAATCCGTCATTAAAAAATCAATGAGCATTTAATGGCGTTTCTTAGATCGCTGAAGACAGGCCTATGACTACATTCTGGTCAACTACGCTAATATTTCTCTTCAGGGTCCATCGTCCTAATCATTCACAATGCTTTGCAGTTTAACGCCAGTCGTATTTCGGAAAGCGTCTTTAAATGTCCCTTAACATTAGCACTACTTTGACTCCCCCGTGTCACCAATACGTGCAGCTCTGACTGCCATATATCATTCATGCGTTCGGGTACAGTATTCTCTCTTTTTATATCTGTAACGGCTTCACGAGATGAATGAATAAAACCAGATATTACCAGGGGTTAATAATGACAAAAAATTGTCATTATTAACCCCAGATATTACCCATCAATTCCCCGTTGTTATGGAGGTGTGGGCTAATGTACATGGTGGTGATACGTGCTAAATAATATTCAGCAGATGGTTGAGAATTTCGAAAGCGCAGAGACACGTGTAACGTAGCGAACAGCTCTAGCTGGAGAACATCAGATTTGCTGGTGAATGAAGAAGACCAACAAGTAACCGATGGTTACTTGCCTGTTTTCATGTTATTACATTTATCGCAGACTGTAACAATAACGAGAGTGATTCATTAATAATAACGGGAGTGTTTCATCAACAGTAACTCGGGATCGAAAGCGATTGTTCATATTTAGCATGGAGATAATGCAGTCAAAGTTCCAACGTGAATGTCAAGGGTTTTAAACGTTCAGAGGTTTTAAGAGAGTAGATTTTAATTAGTTTCCTAACCCGGTTGTGAGAAATTTATTGCTTTTATTCGAAAATGCGATTTATTTGCTTCTATAATATTACTGAAAGAAGCTAGAAATATACCTGTACATAGCAAGTCACTTATATATAAGCTGTAAGTTTATGCTGACATAGGTCACGGGTAACCTGTTCTAGCAAATATTCTATGAAGAAGACCTGTGAGCGCATGCTCTGCACTAGAACTAGCTTCAAATAAAAGTTAACAGAATCGCACTCAGTCTGAGGGTAACGATACGCAATCGTTGGTTGCTAACAGCAACGTTTCCATTATGGAATATAAGCCGTATGTCATGCCAATAATTTTGAAATAGGAGTCTCGTTTCTTCGGAACAAACCGATCTAACGACACCTAGGCACCTATAGTCAAAGCTAGTACACCAGTACCGCATAATATACCCACTTTGAGACTCATTACAGCTAAAAAAAAAACACTGTATAAAAATGATAAAATACAGCAATGCTATAATTTCATGAAGAAACAGCTTTGGCCATAATAGATATTCATAAATATGCACGACTGAATTGTAGGTTGGTAATGTCATCGCTACAAATTCTACATCAAACAATCAACCCAGCAAATGCCGTTAAAAATAGAGACAGCCAAATGATTTCCATCTGGTTTGTTATTTTGCCTGTATCTGCAAAATTTCATATTATTGGCAGCTGGGCGAAAGACAGGCTCATTCCATGATGTAACGACACAGGCATGTGGCATGACCATAATTGTATCATATAATGTCCTGAATTTGATGGCAATGATCAATTTCGGCATCCTTTTGAAATTGTTAATTAACAAACAGCATGCATGCAATGGCAATTAGATTTTATTTTTTTATTTTTCACACTTCCAGTTAGAGTACCAGTACAATGTTTTTCCACAGTGCCCCAAACTAATAAATTATGCCTCCAATGACATGGTGTGTAGTAATTAAATAATATATCAGTCAGTACACTATGGAAGCCATAACGTAGGCCTATATAGCGATGCCTCCTGTATAACAGATAATACATTGTAGACGCTTTGGTTTTTCACACACCATTTAGATCACTCCATTACACTACTCATGTGTAATTTAAAAAATACTTGATGTATGGTACTATAATGCTACTCATTCCTTCCAAAAATGCATTACACGCAAAGAACATATTTGCAAAAACAATTTTACACAAAGTAGAAAATTAAAGAAAGAATTTAAGAACCATTTAATTCTTACTCCTCTGCAGGCTGCAAGCAGCCGAATATAAAACCTTTTTCAGCTGGCGTGCAGCAAGCTTAGCCCTGGTTCATTATATATGTCAATAATATTGATGCAGTGCAACGTGTTGTTCAGGTTTGCATACACCAGTGGTCTGTGTCTGGTTTGTGTGATGCTACTGAACACGCATGTGCACTCGTGCATGTACGTAGGCGTGTATCTTACCAACAGATTACACCATAATTATAGTAGCTAGAGCTTAGCCAGTATTATATTGATTTATGTTCAAAGGCGTATAAGAAGCATTCTATTCTCAGCGTTGGATACATACTATATAATTAGTACCCATGTATATTACTGCTATATACGACTGATGAAAATAAATACTTGTTCATATTATATGTTTTACTGCATGTCTATTTCCTTTAGAATATTATTACACAAAACAGAGTATTCACTGAGTTGACTCATGAATATATGTGGATAATAAGGAAGGGAGTATATAATGACGTATATATATGTTTAATCATGTATACACACGCACGCACGCACACAAATACACATACGCACATGCACACATACACGCACGTACACGCACCCACGTACATACACGCGCGCGCATACATATCAGTAACAGTTATAATAACATATATAGTAGTTACAATAGTTGTAGCACTGTAGTAGCACTATATATTCTAGTGTACTACTACTAGTTTAGACTCGCCATGCCCTGCGACGGTCAAACAGACCGTATAGTTTATGTGATCTGATAGACCGAATAATTCTGTCCCATATAACGTTTTTTATATTTTGGTGAGGGTTATATTGGACAGAATTATTCGGTCTAGTGCTCTAGCTGACTGCCCTCAAACTAAACATTAATTAATTAATTAAAAACAACGTATTAATAAATTAGAAATGCCTCTATGAAATAACTCTACGCTATCCAATTAATTAATTAATTAAAAACAACGTATTAATAAATTAGAAATGCCTCTATGAAATAACTCTACGCTATCCAATAAGATGCAATGTCTGAAATTTTCGATAATAAATCCATGTGGGATTTACAATAGAATTCGGAGTATGCACAACCTACACCGTGTACGCTTTTATTAAACGGCTGTGTTATCCGAAGAATAGGCCTAGAGAGTAGAGTTGCTAATTGAATTTAGAGACTCAGAGTCAAACCTACTTGCTCTGAATGAGGCCTTTCGGGATAGTCGTCTTGGTGATGGCGATCGTTGATGCTTTGAAGTTGTTGCCTGTACATCTGGGCAATGCTTCTTAAGTGCCGGTCCACCAAACATAAATTAACAACTAAAGCTCCTCAAGACGAGAGAAATTCACGTTTCCCTCCTTCAGTTTCCAAGTTACGGCTTATTGGAAGGTGCCGCCGCCCTGGTGTGTATTTTCGTTGTTTAGAGAGGGCGCTAGTAGTACCTCTGATCTACAGTATGTAACTGTTAGTTATGGTCCTGCAATTAAAATCAAAGTTATTCTACATCCATCCAGCATCATTGGTAAGCCAGTCAGTGCAAGCGATTAATTTAGACTTCGATTACTTCAATCACACCAATTGTTTTTTCGTAAACACGGAGTGTTTTCCATTAAACGCGTCTCAGTTTCTTGATTTCAACTGCATGAAGTGTTGAAACATGTAGCCACTAGGCCTACGTTGGTAAGAATTCTAGTACAATCCTTTTACTGACACAAGCACGTCACCATGAACTTATGTAGAGCACTTTCTCGGTATTCCGCCTAACATTTACCTCTCTCCTGCCAGGGAAAGCGCACTTGCTTTCCCCAAGTGCTTCCTCAATTTGACTTGTTTGTTGACATGGTGTATGAATTATTCCGACACTGCCACTGGTAGCGTTGGTGTAGCGCTGTAGTTGCCATCAGTGTTGTAAGCCAAGGGTAACCAATGGCAGCAATATGATTGGACATGCCTAGGGATGCTCCGCCTCTTGTGTTGTATGTGGTTCCTGGCGTCGCACGCGAATGGGTGTCTACTGGATGAACTGAACATTGGAGTACATGTACATCACAACCCGCATTGAAAATGTTCTACCACTGGAACAACACTACTAGAAATTTTTCGTAACAGAAGTGCCAGATTATGCTTTTGTGTGTCTTGTTTTCGTGTGTGAATTAAGAGTTTCGCTTTGGCATACATCGGTATAATTTTATGTGAGCATGCAATAGTTCCATGCGCCGTCGTTGAATGACTATTTGATAGCCTGTGGCCAAGGGTGAATTTCTGAACATTTTGCATGTAAACAGTCGCCAAGTTTGGATTTTGTGTTGATAAATCGGTTCTGTTAAATTTACGTGTGTGCACAATGTGCATTTGATTAAATGTTCAAATTTCACATTAGATAGTGAATTGGAAAAGAATATGGTCAGGATGGATATCAGGTAAGAATGACGTGCAATCGACATTATAATCCCATAACCCTTAATGTAGAATCATGTAGATTCATAGTTGTTTTTCTTATAGGAATGCGTATCGTAAAGTGATTGTATCATGTATGTCAGGTGTTGTAAATCACATGTCAGGTATGTCATGGTTGGAAATCAAATCTAAAGCCAAATACTACCTGTGGTATAAGGAATTTTTTGTTCTGGGCTATGGTATATCAATTCTACACTTTACCTTGTTTGGGTAAATGAATTTTACGTTTGATATATCTTTATTGTTAAATGCACACGCAATTTATGTTAAATTGTCACCTTTGTTTAATAATATATTGATGACTTTTCAGTGATGTTTGAAAATTGTGTACTTGTTACTTGTGTTCTAGCATTATTGCGTGTCATTGTAAGTAAATGAACTTTAGTTTAATGGAAATGAAAATTACATACAAAATCCTATAATACATCTGTATACTGGATGGCAAAACCATGTTGATTCTGCTATTATGAGTATAAAGTGATTTTGTGTGACAGTGTGTTCTAGGCTAAGATATTCAGTTGTATTTCTCAAGTTTTCTATCTCCTAATCAGTAATGTCAGGAACCTTAGGATTGCTGCCATATATTATATAATACATTTACCTATTTATTGCACAATGTACGTGTGTCTCGACTTGAAAAGTAAAGTTAAGATAATTTAATAATTTTTTTTATCTAATGCAAGTATTTCTTATCTTAGATCTGACCTTTTCCTGAGACTGCGCCGGCTGGAGGGGTTGATTGAAAATCCAACCTTCATTCCCAACCATATTGGACCCAGTGGTCTGTTGATGCTCACATCTACTGGTTCAAACACGGTACATTCTCAGGAGCAAGGTAACCAACAGGTGGGTACATACAAAAGTGACATGGTGTCACAGTATATACAAATGTTGAAATATTACAATGGTTTATATGAGAGAATTATAGCTTGCTAGTCATTAATTAGATAGATTCAAATACTGGTGTCTGCTGTGCTTTCTGTTTATTTTTTGTTTATGAAACGCCTTGTATTTATACGTGGCATCTGTGAAATACATTCTTCTTGCATGAAATCTCTCCTATTTGTAAAATGTATTCTATTTGAAGGACATCTCTTTTTTCACCTGCAAAATCCCTACTATTTGCGTGACATCTCTGGTTCTATCTGCAAAACAAACAATCTGTTTGATATATCTCGTTGCACCTGTAAAAGTCATCTCTTGGCGTATCTGCACGGCATCTGATGTTCTATTTGCTAAATGCATTATATCTGCTCGACACCCCGGTATATCTGTCAGACATCTCTTTTAGTATCTGAATTTCATCTGATGTTCTATCTGCAAAATGCATTATATCTGCTCGACACCCCAGTTTATCTGTCAGACATCTCTTTTAGTATCTGAATTGCATGTGATGTTCTATCTGCAAAATGCATTATATCTGCTCGACACCCCGGTCTATCTGTCAGACATCTCTTTTAGTATCTGAATTGCATGTGATGTTCTATCTGCAAAATGCATTATATCTGCTCGACACCCCGGTCTATCTGTCAGACATCTCTTTTAGTATCTGAATTGCATGTGATGTTCTATCTGCAAAATGCATTATATCTGCTCGACACCCCGGT